AGGTTTCCAAGGTTGTAATATTTATGGAAGCAGACTGCTTCATCGTTCCCATCTGCCACAAGTAGAGGATTTGAACCACCGGCCATTATGTTAGTACCCCAGCCTTTAATCACTGTACCACAAGGGCCTATCCCATAGAGATTACAACTGGAGAAAACCTTTGGGGCAGTTCTACTCTGTCCTATAGGATCATTACAAGTTGGAATCGACTCAATGGCTGTTGTTATAAAAACTCACTTGATAAATCATGTGGATTTAATGTTGTCTTTTTGTTGGCACACAACGATACTATTACTGACTACTGCAATATGCTGACCAATCTCAAAGAAGAAGTTACTGTTGTTGTTGCTAAGTGTTGTCGAGTTGGTTTTGACTCATAGTGTCCCAGTGTCCGGTTTCCGAGGAGCGGCTAGTGAGTTTAAACTGCCAACCTTGTGGTTCACAGTCCAGTGCTTATCTTATAGTGCCACACCAGATCCAAGGCCAATTAAGGACTGTTCAGAGCACAGACTTATCACCAGCCTTTAAATAATCTCAGTCTTGATCAGAACTTCCCCTGCCCCTTGAACAATCTTTATTACAAACCCAGACATGAATCAGAGTTGCCAGGAAGACCCCAGAGTAAGATTTTTTTAAGAAAATTGTCATGAAACAATTCTATTAACTGTTTCTCATCTGTGGGTCCAGTTGGTAGATAACTAATTGCATGAGTAACCTCCTACCTCAGCAAAGAGGAATAATGGTCCTCTGTGTCTTGACCACGTGGCTCCCTGGTGCTACTCCAGGTATGGCCTCGAAGCAGCCACTGAACCTGTTATTCCACAAATTAAGCTCTATGCAAAATCAGACTCTGTGGCATTTGCTCAGGGCCATGCAGAGAGATGTAATTAAGTAATAATACAGTTCAATTTGAATTGTCAGCAGTGTAATTCAATTATGGTGTTATTCATGGGCAGAATTAGAGGGACTAATCAGAAAGAAGACCAGATCAAAGATTAACATCCTACAAGAAGACATAACAATGGTCTTTTGTGCTCTAAACAAATCATTGCTGACATGGGATCTGGGAATCTTGTATGGAATAGTCATGTCTTCCAAACTTCATGGTATAAAACCATAGGATTCCCATCAATTATAGTCATACTTTGGATATACCTCTACAGATTGCAAGAATTCAACTGTACAAGTTTAACGCTCTTACTTATGCTTACCAGGTATTTCATTTTGTATTTACTAGACTCAATCTCTATTTCACATGCCTCCCAATCCACTGATTGCCTCAAGCCAAACATGGCCATGCTGAGGCTGAGGCTCTAGGGGCATATCTGGCACCTGTTGCATTAGATTGTCTTCTCAGAGTACTCCAGATTTGCTTATTTATTGAAGTGATAATCCCTTGCATAGTTTGCACTGTTTTATTGGTTTCTTCTCTTTACTTGTACTTTGGGGAGGGAGGGGCACTTTTCCAAACTAAGGGTTAATTATATAAACGCTGATGGCACATAAACGCACAATATGGAGCAGCTAACAGTAAAAAGAAAAAAACAAAAAGCAAAGCCAGTTGACTCAGACTCAGTGGCGAGCCCATGTATGTGAGAGTTGAAGGTGCTCCGCAGAGTTTTCAATGGCTGATTTATCAACAGCAGTGCATACATTTCTTCTTACACAGTCTTAGTGTGGAAGCTCTGCTGCATCCTGTGAGCATCACAGCTGCACCCAAGGCTCTACAAGTGGTGGTTGCACCTGAGGCGCACTGCCTGGGGACCTAACCCAGGTCTCCCACGTAAAGAAAACCAAATCCACTGCCATTCTGTCAGTTCCAACTCACAGTGACCCTATGTAGGGTTTCTGAGGCGATGTATCTTTATAGCCCCAACTTTCTTCCAAGGATCAGCTGGTGTGCCTAACCCACAGTGCCAACAGGATTCCTTTGGTCTTCTGTATAAAAGGCAAGAATTCTAACACTGAATAACCACTGCCCTCTAAGAGAACAA